TGCGACTGGTATTTCTAATGAAGCCACCAAATTCCAATCCAGTGACAAATTCTTGTTTACCCATGACACAGATGCCAAACGGGCATTCAGAAATACATTTCCAAACCCAATATTCTCAATGACAATTTCCAGAAATGCAAATTTTGTTCTCTCATAGGTTGCATGAGCTCTACGATCTCCCTCTCTAAATTAAAAACTCTAACAATATTGTTTTCTCTGTCCCCTTTGGCTGTTTGTGACAAGTTGTTGGCTCTCTGGATTGGCTTGATGGTGTGCAACAGCCTCCTAGGAGCACCTGCTTTTGAGCTTTGCTAGTTTGCCTGCTGATGCATGGGAGATTCAACACTGACTTGTAACCCAGCCCCTGGAATGAAGTGTCAAGATGGAGCACACTCCCCCCTCTGCCCTTCCCGTGGAGGACATGATTTAATATTGCAATCACACGGCTCATCCTGCTCGTCTTGGAAATACCACTTTCACCGACTTTCTTCCAATTAATGAAAACTTATTACCCAACCTCCTAGCGCGAGCATACATGCAATTAGAGGTTTTCTCCCTGCCATACTCTGAAAGTAGAGCTGACCCATGAAGACCAGATCCAATGGGGTGTGCGCCCATCAAGCATGGGCTGGGGGGCTCACCCAAAGGGCTGCATTGCCCCCCAACTCCTCCTCGTCGGGGCTCACCTGCCAGCATCCCCCGTGGCACAGCGCAGCCTCGCAGGGCACCCAGGCTGCTAATGCAATCTGAAAAGGGATGTGCTGCCCATCAGCGCTGAGGACAACACCTTGCACCGGCTTGGAAAGCATGAATCTCCGACTGGAGCTGCACCCACCCGCGAGACGAGCCCAGCCGCAGGCTCACAGCTCAGCGGAGTCAAGCAGTGACTCAGGACAAAACAAACCAGCTGCAAATATTTGAAGTATGTGGACGCCAGGAGGGGAGGAGCTACTGCCTACCATGAGGAGAGAGGGGATGCAACTAGGGCAGGGAATAATTAATCTGAGTGAAAGGCTAAACTCACTGCCAGGAGCAGGATCTGGCTGGGGTGAAAACTCTCACTCTGGACATTGGTAATAAGCCTGTAACAGAATATATCCACTGCTCCAAAAGCAACAGATTGGATATATTCAGTGTCTCATTGCTCCTTAGGAGGAAGCAGGGGGTGCAAGCAGAGAGCTGCCATGGCAAAAGAGGAAGGACTTCAGCCCACAGAAGTGAATTCACTTGGCAGAGTCCTGGGACCACACAGCAGGAGATAAACCCAGACAAACCATAAAAATGAGCTGAACAGGAACAGATTGGGGACACTTCTCCAGGGCCACCGGAATGGCTTGATGTCTCTAAGATGTCTGATGCAGGGCCTGCTTGGTGGGGATGTCTCTATGCCAGGTAAGATTACAACCATCACCCCAAACAGCCTGTGGCTGTCCAGACACGAACACGGCCACACCGCATTCACTGTGAACAGAGGATGGCCCCAACCCGTGATGCAGAAAAAAAGCAAAGTAATACGATGACGTACAAAGAGCTAACCTTCTAAAGCTCAGGCAGAGCATCAACAAAAGTGAGCAAAAACACTGAGGGGAAAAAAGAATGAAAGTTCTAAGTTCTTTAAAAGCATGTTTTAAATAGATAATCCAAAAAACTCGGTTATGCTATCAAGAGAACAATACTGATGAAAAATCTGTCCAGGTCTGTGCTTCAATAAAGGCAGAAAATCTAAATAAATGCATGAATGTAGAAAACCAGAAAACAGACAACAGACACACCAGGAACTCTGAAGTACAGAAAAATGAGAAAAGAAAGATATCAAGAAAAATCCATGGATGGTAGAATTAAGAATTCAGTTTTCACTTTTTAAATGAGGAAATAAAATGCTGCTTTGTAATAGACTTTTATTTCCATGCAGGACAAAAGAAACCCTTTCAATGATGCAATCCCACAAGTAAGCAGAGATGGTAAAATTTTTGGTAAGTTTGGCAAAAAGGCAGAATTATACAATAAATATTCTGTTTCTTTCCATCTAAAAAGCAGAAATAATACCTTGCTAACCGGCACCTCAAAAACCCATTGCCAGTGGAGAACATCCAGAAAAGATGGCATTCCTAATCAGGTTCTCCAGGGACTGTGTTTAGAGTTGATCCTACATAATATTTTTAAAAGTAAATGGAAAATCACTGCTATCTTGTAGAGAACTGAACATCAATTCAACAGGATTGCAAATAAAGATCAGGCATATGAGTTACTGAGTGACCCAAGGTATCCTGAATAAGATGTAATTATTCAAACCAAGCAGATTTAATGCAGACAAATGCATTAATGTATTAATGGGGACAAGAAATGCAGCCACATGCAGGACTGTATTCTGGGGAATAATGCTTCTGCTTGGTCAGCCAAAACTCAGCAGAGTTCCCTGAGTGCTGCAGAGGCAGACTGGGGTCCTCGGACAAGGGCACAGGGGTGCAGCAAGGTAAACCTCTGTGCAAGCAAGTGCTGACACCCACCCAGAATGCCTCACACATCTCTGAAGTCCACTATTTTAACAGAGTCTGAACTGCAAAATTAGTGAGCATCAGGAAGAATAAACACTGAAAGGCATTCCTCTGAGTCCTTGCCACGAGTATTTTAAGACTCTATTCACTACAAAGAACTGAAGACTGAAAAATTACTTAATTACAGTACCTCCCTGAGAAGAAAATCCATCAACTAAAAAGCTCTAATTTAGTAGAAAAAGGTTGGGGTTCAGAGCTGAAATGCAACACATTAGCATGCAAAACCTTTAAGAGTGATGGTGACTAAGCAGCAAAGCTATGACAGGTGGGTTCTCCTTCTGTTGATGTGGCAGGCAGACACATCTGAGTCTCATCTTAGAAGAGATGCTCTAACCAAGTAGCTGTCACTGGGATTTACTGCAGAGAAATCTGTAAGAAGTGTAATAACCCCGCTTACAGAAAAGATCAGGCTATGTCATCTCTACCAGGGCTTCCAAGTCCTGAATTCTGTTATTCTGTGGACAGGAAGAGGAACCTGGGTGAGAAGTAGACAGCATTAGAAAAGGCGCCTGGAGCACACACAGAGGGAAAAACGAGCTGACTTTTTCCTACCAACTGGGCAGGAGGGTGGCTACTGCCAAGCGTAATGGAAGGGCTTTTGGGGAGGCTCTCAGGTGCTGGGGAGGTCTTACATTGAGGCAGCTACAGCAGCAAAGCTTATATGCCAAGGAAGGCTGTTGCTGGTGCAGCACTGTGCTCCAGCAGGGCAGGAGGAGGAACAAGAGGGAATTGCAGCCAGAAATGGGCCACAGGATGGACAGTGTTTCAAAACACCTGGGGCCTTCCTCCCTCCTTTCCCGCTCTGCAACACTGGCCCTGATGGTGAGGGCATCCTGCCCTGCACCTCCCACAGCCACCCCCATGCCCGTGAGCCTGCCACAGCGGGGAAAAAAAACCCAACACCCTCTCCCAACGCAAGTGGGGGTGTACGCAGCGTCTCATTTAACATCAGAGGAGCGAAGCATCCTGCACTGCAGTCTGTCCCCCCTCCTCTTGCAAAAGCTGGCCAGGCCAGCACTGCTCCAGCCTCCTAAAGCTTTGTGGGCCGTTTCCCTCCCTGCTCTGCTCCTGGCTCCTCCTAGCTGCCCTTTGTACGTCCAGGCACTGCAATGCCTCTCCCTTCCCTTGCCCTGGGGACGCAGCTGAGCAAAGTCCCACCCTACCAGGGTAGCCTGAGAGCACAGAAATGCAGCCGGCAGAGCCTGATTAATCAAATACCTCCAGAGGACAGATTTCACGCTGTTTAAGCCCACAGGCAGCCACAGCCCACAGGCAGCCACAGCCTCCAGCTCTGCCACCTCTTTGGCCGCTGCACTGTGGTGCTGTTTTCTTCTGCGTTTCAAACCCCCTTCATAGAGAGTTCACACACGTGTCCGACACAGACGCTGGCAGAAAGGGTGCAGAAGCAAACATGTTTTCAGGCACATGGTTGCCCAACGGGGAGGTCAATCCGCTAAGAAGTGCTCTTTCACTCCCACTGCCCAGACCCTATAACCTTGCTGCCCCTTTCCCAACACAAATATCCTTGCAACAACAAGCCAAGCCCCACAAAGCTGTCTGCAGCTGACTCTGTCCCAGCCACGGTGTCAACAGGATGATTCTGCCCATGCCAAGGCAGCCTGAACCCTCCAGCTTTGGTATCTCTCCAGGTGCAGGGTGTTGGTTGATGGAACTGGAGACCCAGGGGTGGCTCAGGCACCCAGGACACAGCATGCAGCTGCTGTAGCACAGGCAAGGGACTACGGTGGTACCAAGGGCTGGTGATGCAGGAGGTACCATTCCCATCTGCGACAGCCTGCCAACACTATGCATTGGAGGGCTGTCGCAGATGGGAATGGTACCTCCCTCAGTGTGCTGCCCATGTGTAATCACACAACTACCAGTACTTGCGCTCTGTGTCCGTCCGAGTGCTACAAGAACAACTTCCCCTATTTCCTGCTTTGTGCTGTCTGTGAACAGCTGCCATACTTGCCCTCTGCAGGGTCAGGAATTGGTTCCTACACACAGAATCCATTCACGATGGGTTATAAAAGTAAACCAGGCAGCGGGAACAACCCCAGTGCCTCATCCTTCCCCCCATGAGGAACCTCCTTGGGGCCCTGAGGGAGCAAACAAATCAGGGCCACAGGTTTTAGGGTGTACCCAAAACACTCAGGGCACAGATGGAGGAGAGCTTGAAATGACAGCAGTGAGCTGTGGGTCTGTGCTGCCTGGGCTTCCTTCCCACCTGGGCCTCTGCAAAATGGGGGCAAGAGCCCTGGCAGGACATGTAGTGACTGTACAGAGGGGTAACAATGATGATGCCCATTTCAGCAAGCCCCAGGGGTTTCCTGTGACAGCGTGACTACGCCAGCCACCCGCCTGTGCCGGAGTCCTGGTGCTGTCCCGGTGGCAGGGCAGGGCGAAGGCACACCCAAGGCAACTGCCCAGCTTTTCCCCGCATACCTTGCTGCTTCTTCCTGGTCTGCACAAACTCTGAGTGCCGCAGGGCACTGGGAGCCGTCCGTCTGTAGAAGCTGTTTCGCTGCAGTACAGAGCCCACCCTGTTTGCTTCCTCGGCCTCCTGCTCCCAGATCTGGCTCCAGTCTGGCCGGCCTGTGCGTACCCTCGTGCGCTCTGCTCTGCCACTGCTCCTGGCTGGCATCCCAGGCCCTGGGGCTTCGTCTTCCAGCTCCCCACAGCTGTTGTAGTCCATGTCCTGCATCTCAGACCGTGTGTAGCAAGTCCCTGACCCCAGGCTCATGCTACCATCTCCTGAGGACCAGACCGCAAATGCAGTTTTACAACCTCTGTCCAGACTGCTGCAGTCCATGACATGGCCTTTGGGCTGCCTGCGCCGCTCAAAGTCTTCTTGGTCTTCTTGGTCCCTGACACCTATGTATCGCCTTTCCTGCTCTCTATATGACCCAGAGCCTCCATCCTCTCTATAACCCTTTTCCCCTTCCCTAGATACTTGATTGCCTCCATCCTCTCTATACTGCCTTCCCCCCTCCCTATGCTCCCCAGAGCCTCTCTCCTGCCTACACTGCCGTTCCTTTTCCCCATTATGTCTTTCACCCTCACCGTAGTCCCTAGGATCTCTGTCCTTATACCACCTTCCCCCCACCCTATACTTCCCAGAGCCTCTCTCCTGCCTACACTGCCTTTCCCTTTCCCCATTATGTCTTTCACCCTCACTGTAGTCTCTAGGATCTCTGTCTTCCTTACACCACCTTCCCCCCTTCCCATACTCCCCAGGTACTCTGTCCTCTCTGTACCGCCTCCCTTCCTCCCTATACTGCCCAGATACTCTGTCTTCTCTGTACCGCCCTTCTCTTATCTCAGAACTGCAGTCTCTGTATTGAACGTCCTCCCTCTCATACACCCTATAGTTTCTACCCTCTGTATCCTGGCTTTTCCCTTCCCAAGTGCAGTCCGCTCTCCTGCAGTCTGCATACTGGATACCTCCCTTCCAAAAACCTCCAGAGTCTCCGTTCATGCTCCGTCGGTCTACGGAGATGCCCTCCCCTTTCCTGTAACTGTCGCAGCCGCTGTCTGCTCCCCAGCAGTCCAGGTACTGCCTCCTCACCCTGGGTCTGTCATTGACGTGAGCCTCACCGCACAGCATGGCCACCCCAGCCACGTCCTCTCTCCGCACGGCACAGCAGTCCTCATATTCCCAGCTGAGGAGCCACGGCTCCTGCCTTGGATCCTCCATGCTGTGCTCTGTCCCGGGATAGGTGCACATAGTCCTGCTGAGGTGCAGCGCAGGTGCTGACTCCCTTTGCCACCTGCTCCCTGAGCCCAAGCCTGGGCTGACGCCGCTTCTCTGCTCTGTTCCAGCTCTCCCGTCCCAAGTGAAAGGCAGGTGTCGCTTCCTGAAACCAGCCAGCAAGGGTACAAAGAGGCACGGGCCCAATCACTGCAAGCCCTGGCCTTCTCCACCTGCTGCCCAAAGTAATCAGTAACCAGCCCCGAGGAGGGAGGCCGGGGCTGGGCAGGCTCTCACTGCCCAAACCGGCTCCACAGCTTTACCAAAGCCTCTCTGCAGGCAGCTCAGAGGCAGGGAAAAGGAGGGCACTGGAGCATGCGGAGGCCCTGCCCCAAGACCAACATCCTCAGGGAAAGGAAACCGCACGTGAGACCGCGGGAAGCCACAGACCAGAGCTGGGATACCAGATCTCCTTCCCCTGCCTTCAGGCTCCTGCCGGCATGGAGGCTAAACAACGCGGTCTAGCAGAGTCTGGGCGCTCCTCCACACCTCACTGGGGAAACTGAGGCCTTCAGGCTGCCCCTGGCTCAAACCTGATGCTGAGCCTGTCCTTTTCCCAGCCCTCACCCACAGGTCCTGGGAAGAGCTGAAGATAAGCAGCTCCCTGCACGACAGAACATCCCCGAGCGGTGCCTACGCAGTGCCATACAGCCACAGCTGCCTGGTTCCCTGCTCCAGGGCGAACGGCTGGTACCCTGGTTATAGGAACAGGCCTGAAGGGAGTATCTAGGTTATGGAGTCCACTGCCAACACACAACATAAGATTCCACGGTGCTATAGAAACATGTGCTCCTCTCGCTGCAGGGCGCAACATATTCCCAGTTTTCCATACCAAATGCAGGAGCTCCTACGAGAAACCAAGAGACAACCACAACATGCCCAAGACAGAAAGCAGGAGCGTCCATGCATGTCATCCATGTCTCAGGTTCTTGAAACACTTGTTAGGTATGCACAGCCAATGCTCCCAAGCTGGTAGAAGACAAAAATAAAACCAATGGACCAACCTACTCCAACTGCAGGAGGGCAATCCTGCCCAAGCCTGGTGATAAGTAAAACCCCCAGGGTACACACAAGACACACAAAAGAGGCAACCTGCAGATTTGAAACACGTATTTTAGAAAGCCACATACTTTCTTTGGCTCCCCAAAGGACACACCACGGGGCTGGGCTCCCCCAAGACTACGCCAGCCCTACTTTGGTTGCTCATTAATGCTTAGGGAAACCTCTTCTCCCTCCCATGTGCCTCCATGTTCCCCTAACAGTGGGAAGGCAGAAGCCATGCCTGAGGCATTGTGCAAACACATTTTGCTGAGCTAATGCACCATCGGGTTACAGCAAGCCTGAGATGCTCTCTGGCCACACTCAGATGTGGCAGGAAGGATGCAACAGAGCTTGAGTGGGGCACATCTTTAAAGACCAGAGAGGCTACTTATAAATTCTCAGGACTACTAAGGGGATAACTTGACGGGTAGGATGTCTCAATATAGTTAGTTCCTGCCTAAAACTTCCAGTTCCAGTAACCAACAGGGCACAGGTTCCGCAGGATCCGTCCTCTGCCAGGAAGCACTGGGACAGTAAGAGACATTTCCCAGCAAGATCTATCCCATAAGATCTACCCCTTGATCCAGCCCAGATTTTCCTCTTCCTACCTCCACGTTATTTCATCTAGCCTCAAGTCCTCTAAACCTCCTTCCAAGCATCCCTCTTGCACACCATTGACGTGGAGGTTGTTTGTCGCCCTGTTTCCCTGGTACACACATAACAGCCTTCATTCCCATGTGCTCTGCATCAGATGTGATCCTGCAGCAAAGCGCCTGGGCTCCCCAGCATGGATTAAGCAGTGGGAGGATGGAGGCAATGAAGTTAGAGTGAGTAATCCCCAGGCAGGAGTTGGCATTTCACTCCACCTCCCGCATGCAGTGCCCACATTTCCTGCACATTGTGGGTTTTGATAATAGAACTGCAGTGTCAGAGCTCCTGGGAGAAGCTGGGGAAGGGACCGTGGGAGATGTACGTACGTAGTCCTGTCTTTCCACTTTGTCTACTGTAATACCAAGTATAACATAATTAACAGCACTGATCTTCATATGGCATCTTTGGGTTCTGATAAAAACAGGGTAAATTTATCCTCCCTGAGTAATTTTTCTGGTCTGCAAGGACAAAAGTCATCTTTTTGGCTACAGACATGCTGCAATTTAAAGCTCTTTGTTGCTGTTACCAACAGTGCAGCGTCATTTTCCTGTCCTGAAATTCTGGACTCCATGGACAGCAGGAGCACATGGGGAGGCTTTACTTTTTGCCCACTAACCCTCCCCACTCCCAGGCCAGGTTCAGCACCCTTCTGTGCATCCCCTCTGATCTGAGTGACAAGTCCCCAAATGTCTGTATCACCATCAGAGCAGAAACCGCAGGAAACCCAGCACCCTGACAGACTGAGGGCAGACACGCTGCAGACATCAACTCAAATCTCAACTGCATGACCACCAGCAAAGCCACTCTGAAGCTGCTGCTCATTCCCCTACAGCTAAGAGGGGGTGAGGCAGGGAGGTTGAGCTTGCAGCAGCTGTGTTTTTGCTTGAGAGCAAGGACACACTGGGAATGGACTGGATGAGGTCTCTGGATGTACGGTGGGTCTGGAAGAGGAGATGGGAGATTTGGAAGGAAAAGGGGGTGGGGAAGGCCAGGGCTGAGGGATGTCCAGAGAATGACACTGTGGTTCTCCAAGGCAAAATCATGATAATTTGTACTGCAACAACGCTTACAAAATGACCAAAATCAGGAATTGAAGAAGGAAGTATAAGACTGGCTCCAACAGTGCACGTACACGGCAGGGGCCAGGTGACCCCCTCAAGCACCTCCATCCCATGCCGCTGCAGACTCACCTCTCAGCTCCTGCAGCTCCACACTGAGGGTCTCGATGTTTGAGTCACAGAAATCAAGGTTTTCCAGGGTCTCCGCTCTCACCAGCTCATCCTGCTGCTCCTCCAGCATCAGGCTTAGCTCAGCGCGGGTCTTGCCGTAGGCCTCCAGGTCTCGCTCCACCTCTCCGATCCTCGTCAGCAGAATGGAACGGGGGGAAGCTGATCCTGCCCGCGTCATGTCCTCACGTCCCTCCTCTGCCCGCTGCTCCTGGGCGCTGGACTGAAGCTGCGGAGGGGCCACGCTCCTCCGCTGGTTGCTTGACGGAGGCCGGGGCGCAGGCCGGGAGGGCTTCACTGAGAAGGACAGAGACCTGCCTTTGGGCACCTGGCCACCCAGCGTGTGCACAGGGGTCGTCGCAAGGCTGCTGGGCCGAGGAGGGGGTGGCCTCAGGGCCTTCCTCCTCTCTGGCTGCCTGGCGTGGGGGACACACTCAGGAGACCCACGGACAATGTCCTTCTCAGAGCTGTAGTCCAAGATAGAGAAGTGTCGGGAGACCCTGTCCTGCTCAGCACCAGTAGTTGTCAGACTCTTCTCAAACTGCGCCAGCTGCTCTGTCAGTTTGGAGTCGAGGTCCGTGCAGCCGTCCCCCTGCGCTGCGAGCGGGCAGCATTCCGCCCAGCTCCCAGCCCATGTGTCCAGGCCCACCTGGGCACCTCCCAAGCTGGAGGAACAAGGTTTGGACTTCTCCTGTTGGCTGTCCACCCAATCGTCCAGGTCCTGGGTGCTGCACCGGCTCTCCTGGGGCTCGGATGCTGCCCAGCTATTAGGAGAAGAAATTGCCTGGCTCCTGCAAGGATCTGTGGGGGAGCAGGGAGCCGGTGGGGGCACAGTGGGACTGTCTCCATCTTGCTCAGGCAGGGTGTGAGTTTCTGAGTTTCCTGGGGAGGCTGAAATGGTCCCCACAGGCTCCACCTTGCCTGCTTGGCCAGGCCTGTTGCCCTGTTGGGGAGGCTGCTGAGCAGCAGGGAGAAGGCCATTGACCGTCTTTGTGCAGTCAGAGGGGAGGGAGTCTGCTGTGCCTTTGGGATGTGGCTCTTGGTGTCCAGTGCCAGGAAAGGCCTGATGCTGTTTCAAATCTGTGCCAAGATGGCCCTCTGTTCTCCCTGCCATGTGAGACAAAATGGTGTCAGGCTCAGGGTGTGCAGCCAAGCCATCCCCCTTTTCCCTGCCATCTTTCCCTGGCAAAGGAAGAGCTTTGGAGCAGGTGCTTTCCGGGTCTTGAGGGACAGTGACTCCACAGCTGCCTCCACCTTGGGGATCCCCAGCACCCGCCTTTTCTCTGCAAGGCTCAGAGGCTTCCAGCCTCACAAATCTGTGTGGAAAGATGCCACGTTTCCCCCTCAGCTCCCCCTCCAGCCAGCCATCCTCCAGAATGCCTATGATCCGAATCCTGTCACCCACGTCAAAATCCAGTTCCTTGGACTCCAGGGCTTGGAACTGATAGAGGGCAACACCATAGGTACTCCCTGGCTCCTCCTCCTCCTTGGGGGGCATCTCCACTGACCCATTGGTGTCACAAGTCCCTGTGGGCTCTGGATCCACTGAGGTTCCTGGTGCTCGCAGAGGAGTGAGCAGTTCCACAAAGCCCTCTGGGAAGATGCCCCTGCAGCCTCTGAGCTCGCCTTCGAACCAGCCAGGCTCTGGGACACCAACAATGTTGATCACATCCCCTTCCCTGAAGTCCAGTTCCTCCTCCAGCTGAGCAGACAGGTCCATCAGGGCCCGGGCTTGGCCCAGTGAGTAGGCAGGCACCTCCAGGAGAGCACTCTGGGACAGCTGACGGCTCCGAACTGAAAGGCACAGCTCCCGCACACATGATGAGGGGAAAAAGCCCTTGGAACCCCAGCTGCTTCGGCCCTGCAGCCAGCTAGAGGCTAGGGAGCCCCCCAGGATCACCAGGTCTCCTGCAGGGAATGAGACACACCAGTTCAAAACTGCCCTCATGATTGCTTCCCACCTCTTATTCCTGCCTCCCCATGTCCTTCCTGGCTGTGGGTAAGGTCTAGCACTCTGCACAGAGCACAGTGCGTGTTGGGTATGCACAAGAGCACAGCAGGGAGGTAAGGCATGAAGCATCGGCAGCCTCTTGCACACACACCTAAGATACATAGTTTTGGCTGCTAAGCCATGAAGGTGCACCAAAGCTTTGATTTCTCCCCCCAAATGCAAGTCTAAGATTTGGGGATTGGACGTCAGTTAAAAGGCAGCCGTAAGTTTACTGTGATCACACGACTCCAATATTTGGAGTTTCAAGAGCAATGATGGATCATGTGAAACTGGTGTCAGAGTGGCAGAAGCCCAAAGGGCCATGGTGGATTTGACATGACCCATGCCATGAGGTATTAGGAAATCCTCTGTCTCTCCTGCCACTCTAGGCAGGATGCCGTGACTAGGTTCACGCTTCTGGGAGGACAGCGAGGGTTATGAGATGCAAAGGAAAGGAAGGGAATGGAGATTACCTCTCTGCAATGACAAGCTCCCTGGCTCTTGAGACGTGAAGTCACTGGTACAAACAAACAGTTTTTCTCCTTGCTTCAAAGGGGGAATATCCACAGGTTCCACAAAGCTGCTAGGAAACTGCCCTAAAATGAGAAGCAGTTGTCAGCAATGAGTCTTTCCTGTAGCCCACCACCATTCTGTCCACCCTCCTTCCAGATTTTGGGATCTATTCATCTCCTGCTAAAGGAAAATAACCAGCTACCCAGGGTGCTTCAATAGCGTGGTGGAAGAGGAACGGGTTTGGGAGTCAAGAATTCCTGAGGTTTTAAATGCTTCAGAGCTAACGGAGAACAAAAAGCTTTGTGCCCTTGGCCCACTCCAGGCAATCAACAGGCTGTGTTCATTACTGGGACTATGCCATCAGCATGGAGTTTCTGGGAACAGACATACTAGGTTTTCTCTGCTTTCATTGCTTGCTTCCCAACTTAGAGCCATGATGAGGGCTGAGAGATCCAGTAGTGCTGGACCACGAGACCAGTGTCTTGCAACCGAGCACATCCATCTGGTGCTCCTCACTCCGTAAGCCTTGGCCCCTGCACGGCCTCAGTGCAGAAGTCAGGCCACCACCCTTGGGATGGCCACATCTGTGAGTCACAGGCTCTGTCACAGCTTCAGTGCTGCTAAGGCTCCATGAACCTTCCCCACTTTATCACTTCTGTGCAGCTATTTCACCATGGCACCCATTGCTGAGCGCCCAGCTATTCTGAACAGGCCACAGCCAGACAGGGCAGTGCACACTTGTTGGCCACTACAAGACACCACTCAGCTACTAATTTCAGTCCTGGGAGCACAGGACATGGCAGAGCCCGCTGCAAAGGCCGCTAAAAATGACATTCCTCTCTTTCATAATTTGTGGCAAGGGGCTATGACGGACTATGGGCCAGAAGCACTTCCAGAATTCACTCTTGATGACCTAATATGGCATCCACGTTCTCCAGTAAAACCTGGAGACACCATATCCTAGACACGCAGAACTTTGCACTGGGTTTAGGCAGTTTGGCATCTGCTGTCATTAGCCTGAGGTGCAACCAGCAGCCCACAGGCTGCTAGTCTCAGTGGCTTCCTTCACAGTTTTAAACAATTCTACCTCTTTCTCCATGTCTTAGTTTCCTGCTCTGTACATGGAAACAACCTAAACTTCTAACTCAGAAAGGAAGTCATGGAGCTACATTAATTATTCCCCAGAGTACTGCGTATTATTATTGGTAGGCTGCAGCGCCTCCACAGCTTCAATTCAAAAGTGCTTTTACAATTTCCTACAACTTTAGCTTAGAAAATTGGGCAGAAAACTACAACAGCTGTTCCAAGGGAAAGGAGGAAGGCAAGTTTTGGGTTAAAGGCCATTAAATACAA